CGGAATAAAGTTCAGTGAAATGTGGTTCCGGACATCTTTATTTACCGACCGCCTGAGTCAGAAATTCGGACTTCGTACTGATTAACTCCGCATATCATCAGGCTCTGAGTAATGGAGACCAGGAAAGGTTGCATATTCCAGCATGTGATACCAAAGAACCGATTTTTATTGAGTGGTCTACTTCACAAACTATTTATCCATAACACTGGACCAGAGTTGCGGAGCGCATTGCTTCCCGTGGACGCCGTATTATAAATTTTAGTTCTGTTATTGTACATGATTTTCATGAGGATTCTTGGGAATTGTGACAAGAGGTGGGTCCCCAACAGCCGCACAGATTGTTTGCTCGAGGGTGTTTCCTCTAGCGCTTTGGTTCAGTAGCCTAAACATAAGGCAGCGGTGGCATGCGAATTTATTCATTAGCCGTTTATAGTCGCCATGCCATAGTAATTTCGTCATGTTTTGTGTCATTTTATAGGTTTTTGGCGTGAAAGACCTGAGTTCGCCGCACCGTGGTAACGCTGTCGCTGCTAGTCCGCTACTACTTATTTTTTAGACCCGAGAGTCTACTTATTTCCCAACTAACCTTCACTGAAAGCCGTTTCACTGTCCGCCACTTTTGGACGAGCCGGACAGCCAGCAGTTAGATTAACGGGCAACTCGCCTTGCCGTATATGTAAGCATTATTTCTCAAATGTGTAACATAGTAAACAGCTTAATCTCGTTAAACTCTTCAAATAAATATACGTCGATTTAATTCAAACTTTTAGAACTATTCGTGAAGTAGGCACAATTCACTGTAAGTTATCTCAGGCGGTCTACGTAATCATTTTCCAAGATCCTCGTGTGACGTTTTCATGCCGAGAGTAAGCACGGAAACTGGAATGGTGGCATTTAGTTAGTCACTGAAAATTTAAATATATTCGCCGAGCACACAGTCACTAAACAAACTTGCCCATCCTTTCTGAACGGAGTCAGAATCTTGTGGATATGGTCAGACCATTTGTAGTAAAATATGTCTAATGCAGATCAAACCCTATACACGCATGTATTCTGGTCCCTTTCATTTAAAAAGTGGCAATAAATGTAAGAAAACAAAAACAATCAAGATAGTATTTGCTTTTTATTTTACACTTGTGCATCATGTTGAAGCAAGTCATTTTTGTTGACATGCCTCTGACGCTGTCAATAGATTTAACAATTTACTTCGGTGTTTGTTCTCACTCCTTTATTGTTGCTACAAGGTTTCAATCGCTACGCGTCGCCTTAGTATTCGGAATTAGGATATCGCCCTGTCTGGGATCCCTTACATAGTTACCCGATAATCATTTTATGTTTGCTTTTATTTTGAAACGTGAGTTGGCCAGGTATTAATTCTAAGGCCCTTCTATCCTCACTGAAACGACAATTTCATCCCGCTCACCAAAGTTTTTCAAGCACAAACAGAGAAAAGTCGATTCTGCCCTCATTTTAATACTATTGATGACTTGGAAGGATAAATCTTTTTTGGTCTTTAATTTTAATGAATTCCAAGGAAAGGTTATGACCCTGCTAGCAGGGCGGCCAAGGTCTGCTACACC